AGGGCCCGCAAAAGTTCTGGTCTTATCACTTCTAAAGATGCACCAAGTTACTCACGCGGCCACGCCGCTTAAAGGCACACGTCGACTCATAATGTCCTTTCGCTGGGGGATTGATTTGAATTGAATTGTTGGTTCTTATTGCCGTGAAGGAAAGCTGTACATGGGCGATTTCATGTCATTGTGGGGTCGGCGCGGATATCGATTTACAGTTTCGGCCTCTGCGCGGTGAACGTGACACATCAATTATACAAGCAAAGTAATGCACACTGAAGTGCATGGCCGAGCGGCGGCCGCCGCAAAGAAGAAAACACTCTGAGACTCACTGAAAGATGTTCTCTTAATTACCACAATGTTACTTTCAACTGTGGGTTCCTCACACGATTCAAATTTGGGAGCATTTGGTTTTGTTTTTCTACTGTGGTGACCTCCAGATTTGGAAGAACTGAAATCTGTTTCATTTCTTTCATCAAAATGTGACGATAGGCCTATTATGGTTTTTTTTTGTTGTGGTTTTTATGTACACGTTTGCGTCGTCGGGACAGCATCTCCGCCAGGTCCACAAGTCACTATTAAGCACTTTGCCGCCGCCACCTCTCCACTCAGACCTCAGCAGGAACAGCCTGCCCGAGGGTCTGCCGAGCCTTTCGTTGACTTCCCACCATCATTCAGTAAATATGGCTTGGAAACACCAGACACACGTTATCAAACTCTTGATGGCCAAATTTACATGCTTTACACACAAGTATTCTTCAGTTCCTGAAGAAGCAAAGCGTGCTTGCTTGAAGCTGTTCACTCATCACTCGCACAGCTTTATCATGACTCTGTTCGTCACTGGCAGAGAAAGATGACGAAAGATACATGAACTGAGGAAATAAGTTTTCCACCAATTAAGTGGCATCATTTGCAGCGCACCCAAAGATCTCCACAACGACAACATGGCGGTTGGGAATCACTGGCTTAGAAGACAAGACAACGCAGTTTTTTTGAAGCTCCCACATCTCTAGATATTACTTGAGAATACCAACTGTGTATTTCTCCCAGGATTCCGCCAGGGCACCTGCTATTCCGCACGTGAGGCCCACATTCCAATTGGATAGCAGCAACGGGGAATATTTTAATGAATTCATATGCATTGCCCCAATTAGCCTCTGCCTTTGAGTAATTATCAGCGCCGCAAACGTTATGCGCCGAAACTGGGAGCTGCCCGTCGCAACCCAAAGGATTGTGGGAGTTATTTTTAAGCCGGTGGAGGTCAAATGCCCCCCCCCCCTTCCTCCACCCCCACTCAATCCCTCTGCGCACGTTAATTAGCTTGAATTCATTTGTGAAGAAAACGTGATGCGACAGATGAGCGGTCGGGTATCTTAATTCCTTCGATCTCGTCTCGGGGATGCGGGTTGGGGCGAGGGGGGAGGAGGCGTCCATGTTGTTAGAAAGCAGAACGCGGTTTGTCTCGAATGCATGATTGCTGTCATCTTCTGGTGCTGTCACTGTTCACCGCGTTAATGATCGAGCCTCATCTAGGAGCATATTCAGAAGCGGTGTAAACAGTGGGTGCTGAATCACTACAACTCTCAATGATGACTTGGCTCATTTTAAACCACAAATATTTCTTTTTAATGGTGGGGCGGGTATCGATCATACCGGAGCCTACCGCAACTGAGTTTGGTCGAGAGGTGGGGCAAATGATGAACGGAGGCATAATAGCTAACCTGTTCAGGTTTTAAGGAAAAAGAATGGTGGTTTTTTGTTGACAGAAGGTAAACAGAGGGGTGCAGAGGGTCCCAGGAAGGATGCTGACTTGGCAATGGAGTGCTGGTGGGGAGGGGGAACGTCTGGATGAGTCAAAGCAAACACGACAGAAGAGAGTCAGGGTGGGAACATTGGGAATGGCTGACTGGCCTTTGGCATCTTGCGCGCTTTAATTAAACAAGACTGGCTGAAGCAACAGGGAGGAGGGGAAAGGGGAAGAGGCTGTTGCTATGGCGACCAACTTTGGGGAGATGAGAAGCGATGATCATCTTAAGCAGCAATATCGGCGTATTTTTACACATTGTATCATTTGGTAATTAGACATTATACCATTTGATATATATATATATATATATAAAAAAAATAAAAATCATCAAGGGGTGAGACGAGGACGTCCCCCATTCAGCTCGGGTCCTCGACCAGAAGCCAGGAAGCTTGAGGGTTCGGCGCAGTATCCTCGCTGTTCCCAGCACTGCGCTTTTCTGGACCGAGATGTCCGATGTTGTTCCCGGGATCTGTTGCAACCACTCATCTCGTTTGGGGGGTCACTGCCCCGAGTGCCCCGATCACCAGAGGCACGACTGTCACCTTTCCCTTCCAGGCTCTCTCCAGCTCCTCTCTGAGGCCTTGGTATTTCTCCACTTTCTCGTGTTCCTTCTTTCTGATGTTTCCACCACTTGGGACCGCTACATCCACTACAATGGCTTTCCTCTGCCTTTTTGATCACGACATCTGCTTGCTTCGCCATTACCATCTTGTCGGTCTGGATCTGCAAGTCCCACAGGATCTTCTCTCTCTCTCTCTCTCTCTCTCTCTCTCTCTCTCTCTCTCTCTCTCTCTCTGTCTCTCTCTCTCTCTATATATATATATATATATATATATATCTGAGTTGCTTTGGCTTAAAAAAAAAAAAGACATTCAAAACCACTGTCCCATTGTCATTAAAGGTATGTGATGTGCTGCGGTTATTGACATAAGGGGGTGTGTTTCTTTCACTTTGTGTTACACTGACTCCCCCCTCACTCATCAGGAACTTGGCTGGTGGCGAGCAGCAGCTCATCACTCACACAGGATGGGGGTGATTACTTGGCTATGTATTGTGACTCCTATATCTAAATATAGCTCTGGCTGTTGGAGCGGGGGACAAGTGAGGTGGAGGGGGGGGGGCATGACAAAGTCGAGCGGCCTTCATTGATTCTGCAGCAAGGGTGAGACGACCGATGAACATTTATGCTGTGTACAAGCCGGCATGCAAATGGCTGCAAATCTTAATTCAGTGGAGATGATTCGTGAAGCAAAAAATAAATAAATCAAATCCCAGCAGCTGAGCTAAAATGCTAACGGCGAAAGGGCCTGATTTGTTTGTTTATCTTCGTGTAATACAATGGTGCTTTGTTTATTTTCAGTCCAGGTACAAAATTGCCCTTGTGTCATTCAGGCAAGTGTTGTTTTCATTAAACTGAAGAAAAAAAAACACACATTGTAGCCGTGTCATCGCCCAAAAGTCCGTTTTCAAAGTCATCGGGAATGAGAAACTGACTTTTGCGTCAATGCAGCATTGCCTTCACACTTTTGCTAAAGGGCCAATCAGATTGCTCCCATGTCATTGATTCGACTCACAGCCTACCAGAGGCCTTGTTGGATAGATTTTGGGTGAAGATCTTTGTCATTTAGCCTGGGAAGAGGAAGTTACAGAGAGGCTTCAACACATATGCGAGGACAAGTGCAATTGCACCAGTTGAAGATTTGGGAATCGATTCAAATCAGCGAGGGAAACCTCACTTTTCATCTCAGCGTCTCACACTGATAAGACTGGCCGGGGCATCGTTATTTTGTCATCCCTGGAAGAGTTCAAAATGCAAACACTGCCGCAGCTCGATGGCCGCGAATGATGCAATGTCCTGAGCTTCTGGCATTGTTGAGAATGCCACTTTTCTCCGTTGGAGACGCTATTATTAAGAGCACCGAGAGAGTGTCTACATATGGCTTATATGCCAAGTTGAAGAAACGCAAAGGCACTCGGGTGTTTTTTTTTTTTTTGTTTTTAGAGAGGGCTTGAGAAGAGAGGTGAAGGCTAGTCGCTCGCATGCATTAATTGGATATGGATGGCTACCACTGTGTGGGGAAGGAGAGCTCTTTGCATCTGGGGAAGTCTTCTGGGAAGATGTGTCAGAGGATGACAAAAAAAAAAAAAAAGCCCATTTAGCACCGAAGTGTAAAATCAACAAAACCTCTGCCCGGGCTGAATGATCCCAAATGTGTCTCACGGGACAGGCGGAGCAATTCTCCTCTCTAGTGCAGGGGTCCCCAACCGCCGGTACCGGTCCGCAGGGCATTTGGTACCGGGCCGCACAGAAAGAACTTGCCTTAATTCCGTTTTATTTCTTTCGGAATACGAAAGATGTTTTATTTTGAAAAATTACCGGATTCTCCCTTACATCCGTCTGTCACGCTTGACACACGTCAAGCCACGCTTCTCCGTCACGTGACCGATTACGCTAAAAACAAAACGCCACAGCTAGCAAAATGAGTAAAAAACTGTTGGGAGATCGCAAACGACGGCGTCCTTAAAAGTACGTTGGAGACAACTGGATTCAAGTTCTGTCTGAATACTCTGAGATCGCCACAATAGCACTGTTGCTATTTCCGATATGCTAGCTGTGTGAGGCGGGGGGGCTTTTGTGCAGCAACGGCGACTAAAACAAAATGACCAAGTAGACTGGCCATAAAGCACACACTTGAGGTGTCGTTGTCTCCTATTACCCCGAGATGGGACCGTCTGGTTGCAGAAAATCAAGCTCGGGGCTGTGGTGAGTCGTCATTTTCATGCACTTTGAATTTGCGTTGTATCTATTTTGAAGGCATTAAACGTGACCACAGCGATCAGAGTGTTGCGGCCAGATTCGACGCTCCTTGTGTTTTTTATGATTATATTTGGAAAACGCCACCGTTTTCATGCAACTCTTACCATATTATTTTGTTGTGTTATTTCCGCCACACCTTAAACGCCGGTCCCTGAAAATATTGTCTGACATCAACCGCTCCGTGGGGCAAAAAAGGTTGGGGAGCCCCGTGCTGGAGGATCACTTCCAGCCGGGACGATGATGAACACATGCGGTAGCTCACAGATGGAGCTCACTGGAGAAGCGGGCTGTGTGTCTGTTGCGAAAAGATAAGGGCAACGAACACAATGAGAAAGACTAAAAAGCCAACCCGCTTTCATCCTAAATAATGAATCAAGTCTGGGATGGAGGCCACCGTTCTGCAGAACATTTATTTGCATTGCGGTGCTGCCACCTTATGGTAGACGGCGCTCGTGCCTTTTTTTCAGTTGTTAAAATCAACTGAAGGCCGCGCGCCACAAAAGCCACAAAGGCACGGCGGGGGTGGGGGGGAGAACATGCAAATTCCACACAGGAAGGCCGGAGCTGGAATCGAACCCGCGCACTGTGAGGCCGACGTGCTCACCAGCGGCGTGCTTACGACTCAAAGGCAAAACTGGATTTGATTGGGGCTCTGTAATCATAACATGACATACATTCGCCGTGTAAAGTGGAAGTTAAATGCAACCGTGGTTGTACAATTAATTTTAAGTTGATACAAATTTTTCAGAAAAAAAAAATTCAAACAAAACCCACGAAGCACCTAAAGTGCTTTTTTGGGGAGTGTTATCAGTCATGTGCTCGTAGCGAGCAGATGCTAACGTAAATACGCTCATTGCACATGTTGCGACCTTTTCATCAGTCCATATTGTAGCGCCGGCTTATTTTATTGGCCGCGTCGATCGCATTCCCTGATCCTCGGCGTTGACCTTCCGTTGTCGTCGTGGCTTGAAAGCAGCAAAAACTAACATGAGGAAAAGACCGTTGGTTGCATAACCCGCAAAAGGATTGGCCGAGACTTTTAAATGGAAAAGTTCATGTCCGCCTCTCCTCTCCTCTCCTCTCATCTACTTCCCCGCTTGCCGCTTCTGCGCAACGCCGTAAGGCACGTGGGCCGCAATGGTGCCCATCTCGGCCGCGCCCTCCACGTGAAACATCTGGTCGTCAAAGTAGATGTGGGGTCTGATCTTCTCCAGCATGGGGCCCTTGGGCGCCCCCGCCAGGAACAAGGCCTCGTCGATCTCCAGCCCCCAGGCCCTGAGGGTCTTCAGGGCCCGGAGGCCCGAGCTGGCCGCGCTTCGGGCCGTCACTAAGTAGGTGCGGATGGGGCAGTCCAGGCGCTGGCCTTTAGCGTAAAACTTCTTCTGGAGCTTCCCCAGGGCCTCCAGGAAACCTTTCAGCGGACCCTTTCGGGGAGGAAGCGAGCAGATTGTGATTCACGAGGTTGATTTGCCAGTCACGCAATGAGCTCGACGCGGTCTACGGTTAAAAAAGGCACGTCACATGATCCAGCAGGGTGTCCTCGTTTTGGCGCTCGTGTTCGAAGAACTTGTCCAGTCCGTGGGCCTTGAAGATGCGCTCGGATTCGTCGGAGAAGAGAACGGCGTCGCCGTCGAACGCCACCCTCAGCTGGGACTCCGACACCTCCGTCTGCTTCTCCGGCATGAACACGGTTGCCACCGCGATACCTGGTAATCAGTCGGCACTTTCGAAATGATTCGGTCGTCGCGAGGGCCGTCGCTCGGTTGTGAACTTCTCCGACGTGAGATAATAAGGCTTCAGCGTTCACGCAATCACGAAACGGCGCGCGCGCAGATGGCCTCGCGGCTAATGAAGACCTTTCGAATCAAATGTCAGGGACGCCTTCTTTGCCCGACGGCGGCGTACGCGTGTCGCGCGTACGCCGCCGGTCCGGTCACTTTGAGAGGTACTGTAGGTGGTCCTGCGCTTAATCCTCCCTTGAGGGTCTAAACATAGCCAACGTCAATCTGTCGTCTCAATTGGATTTTTGGGTGCTTGCGATTCAGTGTAATCAATGCTGCTCATGTCACAATGCATCCGGAGTAAATGGTCCAGAGGGTTCTTTTTCGTTCGGATGTTTTGCCGCAAAGAAGGATGCTCAAGGCACATCAGGAAAAGAGAAAGAGATTTATCATTGCCAGTCATCCACCTTCTAGTTGTTGACGTGACTCACCTTCAGCCAGCGCCTCCCTGACCTTTTGGGCGTCGGCCGACAGGTAGAGGTCGGTGTGCCAGGCCGCGAGGTAGCCGATCGGACTGCTTCCGCCGGTCATGCAAAAGCGCTCAATGAAAAGATCTGGGAACAACACATTCAAAAAAGGGACACCGCTGCTGCTTTCCGGGCTACTTCGGTGACCGAAGAGCGGGGAAAGGGAGGGAGGGAGGAGAAATGTGGCGGCGCAAGGCAAGCTAGCCAGCGTCGTCATGATCTCGCCCACCGGCTCAGTCCTTTTCCCCCCGTTTGAAAGCAGCCCACGTGGTTTTGAAAGACAAACGCAGACGACAAATAGGACGGAAATGCCGTATCAAACCCTCCTACCAGATCTCGCGTCACTAGTTGTTTCTTTTGCTTTGTATTTGCGGCCTGCTGGGTCGGAGTCCCCCGAGCTCTTTGCACTTGAGCTTTTTCCAGCCTTCCATCCAGGGAAAACATCCTGCGGTCTTTGGGACTCTTTCTTCATATTTTTACTCATCGTCAGTCCGAACATCTCGGTGCGATTTGCTTTTCTCAATCGTGACATCTGAAACGCAGTGACGCTGCTGGTCTGTTTCATTTTTTTAATTGCACCTTTGTAAGGCAGAGTGGACCTTCTGAAAAAAAGAAAAAGAAATCAAGGTCCCCTTCGTATATGCCCAGCAATTACGTCGAGGTCACGGGCAAGAAAAGAATCGCCCCAGTCCGAAAACGTGGGATGAATCTCCAAATGTTAGCTAGCCCAAGGTGTCTCAACATTTTCCGATGAGAAAGCTGCATCGCGGTCTTAATCCTTTTTTAATGACCGCGCCACCCCGGGTGGCTCGTCACCGACCTCGTCTGTGAGACGCTGGTTCAAGATCAACATGTTTCCCCAACATCAGAGGGGATTTGTTTGTCTTTGCTTTGCGATCTGGAAGCGTTTGGGGCGCTCACGCAGAGCGCCGCCAGCGAGATCTAACGCCGTCTCATCTGGCCGGCTCCGCTCCGAATGTGTTTTTGTTTTGAGGGCCCGCCCGCGGATTGACCTCGGCTCCCGCGGGACGCGATTTTGAACCCGACCCAGCGCGAGGCTCGGAGTATCCGATCTCGTTTGATTTGGCGAACGGGAAGCGGTTTGAGTCGACAGAGAGGACGTTTGCGTGGGAATGACCCTCGAAAAGTCAGCTGTTGCAGAAATTGGCTCGTCCCAAACGAGAAAGTCCTGATGAGAAGAAAAAGGTTGCATGGGCGCCAAATCGCCATCTTCCTCGATGCGCTCTTTGCGCGTCCTACGCCTGTCCCTCGGCTCGAGCGAACGGCGTCGCAGCGTCAACACGTGGCCGCGGGCGCTTCAGAAAACGGGCGCACGGGCGGGATGCCGCTGTCGCGTCGGCGCGCCCGCGTTGCGCCGCCGGTCACTTCGAGACTTACTGTGATGGTTGATGGTGTTGATGAGGCGGATCCCGACGTGAGCGTGGTTGTACGTCACCAGCACGATGTCGAACAGCTCTTCGCTTTGCGGGTACAGCTGGCGCAGACGGCTGTTTACCGCTTCCAGAGCCTGTTGACGACACCGCGGCCCGACAAGTGATGATTTGCCATTGCAAATATTGAACAAGTTGAACAGTTGCAGTTATCGGCCTGACCATTTCCCAAGCGGGTCACGGAGGGGGGGATCACTTTTGAAAGCCCCTCACGCTACCGATGTTAGCATCGTCTTTTGGGCGCATTATCGGATTGGAAGAGAAGCAAAACGCTCCATTTTGGAGCCAATTGTCCGTCCGTTTGCCCGTATGTGTCTTTGCGCTGCCGGTGAGTGTAGGTGTCGGTGCACTTTTCTACCTTGACAAACGGGAAAGCGGGTCCCGGGGCGAAGGGTTCGTTCTCGTGTTGGATTTGGTATCGCAGGTATTCCTCCACGCCGTGCCGCTCGAACACTTTCTGCTCCCGCTCCGTTCGGAACAGGACCCGCGTGGACACGGCGATCGTCACGGCGTTCTCGGGCTTGGGCTGCGGCCGCAAAATGAAAAACAAGACCGGGGGGCGGGTCGCTCGCGGTTAACGGGAGGGAAGGAATGAAAGTCAGGGAGGAAACGGATCCGTTCATGCACTTGATTTGAGGAACTCTGGTGCACGGCAAGCGAGGAGCAGCGAGCGATGGCCTCAGTTGGGTGCGGTCGGTCCGGTTCAAGTGAGCACGGGGCGCAGACCAAGACGGGGGCCACGCTTCAAATGATTGGGGAATCACAACTGCCCAACTGGAAAGATCCCCTTTCTTTGTCTGCTTTTTTTCCCTTGGCCGCCTTTGGTCCAACAATTAAAAGAGACTAGAAGGCCCTAACGGCCCACGGCGGTACGTCGTGGGGAAGCCAAGGAGCAGCCGGTCCGGAGCCGCGTTGCGTGCCGGCAAGCGCAAATAGTCCCGGCAACTCAAATAACACGGCCGACACGTCACCCGACGTGGCCGGCGGCGTTTGCGCATTAAAACTCCAGCGCGCCGCCGTATTCCGAGGCGATGGGCTGCGTTCCAAGTGGGGCAAAGTGTGGCGTCGGCGGCCGTCGTGCGCTCGTTCCCAAGCGCTGTGCCGGTGTGTCATATTATCGCATTCAATTTATTGACTGCAAATCATGGATTGTATATTTGCTAATCAATATATTCCGGCGACGTGGTGACGAGCCGAGCGATTCGGTCCTTTTTCACTCGATGGGGGGAGGTGAATCAAACGGTGGAGGCCACCCGTTGCCTTTGGTACGACAGAATACACCTGGGCCAGTTGGCATCTTTGTATGCAACAAAACAATCAAACGGTGGAGGCCACCCGTTGCCTTTGGTACGCCCGGGCAAGTCGGCATCTTTGTATGCAACCGAACGGGCCCAGATTTCACACTCGCTGTGGTGGACCGGTCGCCCGTCTTCAATTTCATCTATTCGGTACGGGTGGGAGAAAATATTGACGGATCCTTGTCAAAAATAGCAATGTTACGGCTGACTGAGGCTCGGTATTCTTCTTCATGTACTGCCAACTCTGCGTGTCAGAATGGCCATAAAAGCACTCGTGTTTATCATGCTTCAAAAATATATTACCCAAACACCAATGACGGTCAGGGGCTGGGGGGGGTGACACCTTTTACTGCTGCTATCACACCTGAAATATTGTTAGTGTTTTGCATGCTTGATGTGCAAGTTTTACCTTCCGTAATGATGCATTGTAGCTCATACTATCTGGTTTTTTGTATAGTGGCAACCACACAATCTCTCTCGAAATCAACAAATCATGAATTGCATTCCAAAACAATGATTTGAACATGCCGCAAGCGGTTCACTTTGTTGTGACTGGCCGGCGTGGCTGGTTAGTTGAGGCGGCGGGGGCGTGCGGTCATGCGGCCGTCACAGAGGAGCTCAAGTGGAGGAGAGCGACAAAACAAGAGCGCTCGGCGGTCCGTGCGTCGTACTCACAAAGAACACGCCTCCTTCCACCTTGCGGGCCCGTCTGCCTGTCACCTTCGGCACAATGACATTTTGCAGTTTGAAACTCGGCGCGTCCGAACGAAAGGGGTTGGTTGTTGGCTCGGAGGAAGTTGTGATGACGAACCAACAAACAGCAAACGGCGCGATGGACGTGGGAAAAGGCACAAAGAATGAGCTCACAATGACAAATCCAATTCCATTCACCAAAAACAGCAAGAGCGATAAAACGCCTCTGCGTGGCTTTACTTTGTCGCCTCATTTTGCGGGCGATATCGGGGCCGGCTCGTTCGTGAGAGAAGCTCGACGCAGGTCCGCCCCCCCGACTTTGAATCTCCCATTTAGCTTTGCTCTTCGCGACGTTTGCGACATTGTGGAGTCGGTTTACGCTATGAATAACGTGTCATGCCGTCGGAGGCGGGCCGAGGGAATGGCCGGGGGGGGGGCTCGGCGGGGCGTCTTTTGGCCTTTGCTTGCGATCCGATACCCTCGGCGTTAACGGCCTGCCCTCTGCCAGCCGGACCGCGGGGCATGCCTCGATCACATGACTCCCCC